ACACACACACACACACACACACACACACACACACACACACTGCACACTTCTCAGTCCAATCCAGTGGAGGAGGAACATAACCCACCATGGCAGTCTGTGCTCCAGAAAGAGTTCCATGTGATCTTTTCCATCTTAATTCCATCTTTGCTCTTGATTGCATTGTCAAACAAAGAGACAACAGGAAAACACCCCACTACTCAGGGGTAATTTAATCCATCTCCTCCATAACTGTTCTCTAAAGCACAGGCACTTAAAATCCAGCATGGCTATTCCCAAATGAACAGCCTGAGAATCCCCATCTGGGCTAGTTGCTCAAAAAAAAAAAAAAAGCATCCCCCCCCCCACTCCGAAACAAACTCCAGGCACAAAATGTTAAGATTGTACAGTGATAAATTATGACAATGAGTCATTTCTTCTTTCTTTTTTCTTTTCTTCTTTTTTAGACAATAGCATTTACAATGTGACCTTGCCTTAAAAATAATTTAAAAGTTAAGAAAATGTCAAGTCAAATAGCAAAAAGGGCTGGTAATGAAAAGCAACAGTTGCCTGTCCTTCCCTCCCCTTTCCCCTGCCTCCTGCTCTGCTACCGAGAGCCCTGTTTTTATCTGTTCCCGTTTTAGTTCTAAAGCATATCTAAATGACGTGCTTATACTGGTCTCCTTTGATTTATCAACTTCAGACACCATCTTCTGCCTTAGGGCTATGATAGATGAGGATCTAGTTCTCCCTTGCTCTCTTTCATGTTGCAGGCTTTCCTCTGTGTCTGGGGAACCAGGCTGTCTGATCATGGAGAGGCTCTGGGACCCAAAGGTCAGTAGTAGTTCTGTGCTTATTGTTGGCCCCTGGAATGCTCTGACCACCTTGTTTGGGGTTCCCGAGGTGAAAGGATATTGGGTTCTTTTTTTTCTCTTTTGTTGTTCCTTTTATCCTGGGTGCTGACATTTCCCCAGTGAAGACTTGGGTCCTTCCCTTTCCTTGTCTGCCCTGCCCTCTGCCCACTCTTTCCTGGGCTGGCCTGGGGATTTAGTGCTTTTCGCCCTTGTATACGCAGATTTGAATTAATCCCCCACTTCTCACTCACTCTGTGGGCTGTGTGAGGCAGCCTCTCTTCCATGTCTGGCCAGTGGGGCAGCTGCAGCTCTTCTCAGGATGGTCCCAGGCCAGGATCCTAGTCTGCCTTGTCATCGAATTCCCTTCTGTTGGCTTCCAGTTTTCTGGAAATGGCCCGAAATTCTGCTGATGAGCTAACTCCTCTTGTTCTTTATGAAGGAAGGGGCGTCTGCTTTCTAAAAGTCACATTTTGTGGTCTGGAGAGATGACTTAGCCATTAAAGGCAAAGGCTCACACCACCACCACCACCACCACCACCAACAACAACAAAAATCACATTATCTGGAGTTTTAAGAGAGAGAAAGGGAACATTAGAGTTTATCTGTCACTGGTGTCTTGCCTAACCCCCCCTCCCCTTACTCATATGCTGTTCAGCCTCTCTCTCTCTCTCTCTCTCTCCCTCCCTCTGTCTCTTTCTCGGACTTGGCATGTGACTTCTCCACAGCTCCAAGATCTTGCTTGTTTTCACAGACTGACCTGCCTACTTGACGCCATCAGCAGGCTCTGTAACAACCTTTGATCAGAGCATCAAACTGCGTTTCTTTCATCAACCCAGAGGCTCCCTAATGCTGGGGTCCACCTCTCTGTCAAACTGGGTATACCCACGACTGTGACGACAACTTCCACACTAAACAAAGGAGACTGCCTCTCTCCATCTCTTCTGGAACCAGATGGACACACAGACATGTGTGACGTAGGGAGACATTTGTAAGTACAAATGTTGGAGAGCCCTGGGGTTGGGGTGGGGCAATCAGGGAAAATAACAGCAGTATGTAAAATGTTTGGTTTGCCCTGGCTGTCAGTCTGAACCTTGGAGCTTGGATATCATCTCTCTGTAAGAGATCAGTGTTGTCAGTATTTCATGGAATCTACATAGGTGAATGAGTCAACTGGAGATCTTTCACGTCACAGAGCAAACACCCTCTGAGCAATAATAATAAGTGTGGGTCCAGAAAATGGGAGTACTGGAATTGCTGGGCTCAAGAACTGATCACACACAGGAGTCCATTTCAGAAGATTGGCAAGTCTAAAGGGAAGTCAAGTCCAGTTATCTACTGGAAGCTCAAAGTGGAAACTCAAGCACCAAGCATGGCACTGTGGGTACTAACATGGCTGTGGTAGGAAGAGGATGGGGCCAGTGCCCATAGCAAGGACAATAATTCTAAACAGAAAAAAACTCCTTAACTATACAGCAATAGTAAATAAACTAAAATAGTTATATTACAATGACTTGTAACCAGTAATATTTATCTCATTGTTCAGATTGGCTTGGAATTTACTATGTAGATTTCACTGGCTTCCTTGCAAATCTTCCTAAGTGCTAGGATTTCAGGCATGTGCCATCATACTGGGCTGCCATCAGTCCTAATTGTTGCAGAACACTTTTATGGGAAATCCATAAAATCATGTAGAGTAGGATTCCATTTTAATTAAAAGCCTGTCACACATATAGGTGCCCCCATACTTGCAAAGGGACAACATTCTGATTACTCCATTGTAAGTGGGAAATGCGTTTACTACACTGACCTGCTGGATTCCCTAGCTTGGAAACTCAGTACACCAGGATGAATTGTTCTTTCCCGTGGTTGCACAGTTGATTGGGAGCCATGGCTCAGAACTGGGTAAGAGGACAGTACCATAGATTGCCAACTCAGAAGAAGTTCAAAATCAAGCATTTTAAATACAGTTTCTACCAAGACCATAGTGTTCTTTGTACCATTGTAAAGTAGAAAAATTCAAAGTTGAACTACTGGAAGCTGGAAACTGCATCTACACACCCTATAAATTCTTATTTTTTATTTTTTTTTGGTGAGTACTCTGAAGTGATACACACAACCTTTTTCTATTCTGGATTTTATGTTTTCATCATTAAAGGAGAATGTTTTGTTTCCAATGACTTCCTTTCTTCTTTTACTTAAAAAAAAAATTATACAGGGGCTGGGGACGTAGTTCGGTTGGTAGATTGCTTGCCTTGCATGCAAGAAACCCTGGATTCAATCCGAAGCACCGCATAAAACAGGCTTGGTAGAGCACCGTTGTAATACCAGAATCTTAAAAAGAAAAGAAAATGGCATACAGTGTATTTATAGTACACAGCAGAGGCTGCAAGTTTAGAGTCATACGAATTTCCAAAAGGCATTGAAAATGAATGAACTAGATCAGACTGAAGAAAAACCAACCGCCAGGAATGTAATCAAGTGTCCTTTCACTTTTGCTTGACCATGGCATAAGAACATATACAAACATGTATGGTAGTGGAGATTGCCCGTTGAGTTTGGAATGGAAAAGCGTAACAGCTGAAAAAAATAGAAATATGTAATTATTAATTTTCTTTCTTTCAGACCTCATTACTTCTTTACTTTAGAAGCGGGAAGGCAACACTTTTCTTTTGCCCCAACATGTCAAATTCGAGTCTTGCATTTCATACCGAGATGTGCTGTACAGAATTCAACCTTGAATCTTTTAACTGAGAGCAATAGCTTTATTTGGTTTCCTAATGGAGAACAGCTGCTCACTGTTGAACATGGATAGAATCTTTGTACGATACTTTTTACATGTAGCGTAACCAGTCCTGAGACATTTGCAGAATTCTGGCATTCTAAAGTTGCAAATTTTAGCTTTTAGGACTGAACCCATGGTTCAAAAAAAAAATCTCTTTCTGAGATTTTTTAAGGTTAATTGAGAAAGTTGAATTTTTAGAGCTCCACGTATGGCATAATATTAATCAAGAAAGACAATTCTCATAAAACCTAGAATCTTTGGTGGAAATCTCTCTTTCATGCCACAGTTTGGGGAAGCAGTTTAAATCTCTTTCACTTCTGGAAATTGATTTCAGCCTAGGCAAATGGACCGAGTTATTCTTTACTGAGTTCCTGAGATATAATTTCATCAAGAGTTCCAACTAAATAGCCCATGTGTATATGTGTGAAGAGTCTAATGCCTTAAAGAGTTCGATGGTAGTCATATTTACTGAAAAGGCTGTCAACACCTAGATTAGAGTTTTGCTGGTAAGTTAGGGTAAATATTTTTGTTGGATGATAGTAATACTTATTACATTTTCAGTTGTTTCTCCATCCCATAATTAAGAGATGCCAGCATCATCAATGTGCCTCCTTTTATCCTGACAGTTGAGTGTTAAGACTACTTTGTATCTAGTTCATTAAGTAGAATGGTTTCAATCATTTCAGCCGTGGAAGTGACTCTAGAGGGTCATGCTATGATCTATGTTTTTAGTACAGCATTTTCAGGCCTCTTGGTGAATTATTTAGCATCCACAGCGACCCACCCAAATTTTCTCACCGTGAATTTAAGTTTCAAGACAAGGTCAGCATTAAACTGAACAGCTCAGGAGCCCTAGTTCATAGTGGGGCTTACTGATGTTGACCTGTCTCCGTTAAATGTTTCAAGACTTGCTAACATACAAAGCTGAGTCATTTCCTGAAATTGTGCCCCTGATGGACACCATGCCCCAAAGTGCTCCGATCACATCCAAGTCTTTTTGGGACCATAAATAAATACAGCAGACTATGTGGTATTATTTAGCCCGGGCTTCCACAGGCTTTCCTAGGTAATGCCACAAATGATTCAACCTTTTTCGCACACTCTGTCCTGTAGGTTCTCAGCCATGTTCTCACCATGCTGAGCGACAGCATTTCTGTTTATTCACTTTGCAAATACTTGTTTTGTTCAAGGAATGGATTCCTGTCCTTAGGAGATACTCTATTAGGACTCATTGGTCTAAAAGGCTGTAGTACTCCTGCCTTCCCTACCTCACTTCATTCCACAGTGGCAACACTTGAAATAAACCCGAGAAAGCAAACTTTGAAACCCAGTCCTTTGTTTTAGAGCATGAGGTTTACACATCCCAGGCATGCTTCTTTGATTTGATCCTTTTGATATTAATGTATTTTATTTGCATGCCAAAATGTCAATCTTGGAAGAATGTTTTGAAATCATGATTTTAACATGTTAACATGGAACTTTCACAGGGCTGTACCCATAGACAAAGAACTCTAAGGAAATAAGGAATTATGAGACTGGGAAAAAAATAGTTTTTTTTCCAGGAAAAAGCACACCAATTCTGAAAACATATAGATACAAGTAACATAGGGACTGAGCACATTGCATAATTACATATATAATTTGGGATATATATGTATATATATATATATATATATATATATATATATCTTTTACTCCCACAACTTTAAAAGGCACACACAGAGTTATGTATGTGTATATATTAACATTACTTTCTTCATGACTCTATTATAGTCTAAGTGGTCAGTGACTTGGCTTTCAAGTTCAGGGAGGGAAGAAAGTAGGGGGAACTGTGGGATGTAAGACAACGTGGTAACTACTCAGCAACAGTGAACTCACCAAGTGGGATTCTAATCCAAGCTTTTCCATTTCTGAAACAAACCAGAGCTGAGATTGAAAACTATGTAGTGTGATGAGTTTTCATGAATAGAACATGATGGGAAGTTCTGCAGCTACTTCTAGTCAAGAGCTTTAATTATATTTTTGAAGGAAAGAAGTTATATGGGTTCACATAAGAATGTTCCATTTATGGGAATCAGTCTACCACAAGATCCAGCAATTCCACTCCTAGGCATATACCCAAAAGAAGCACATTCATACAAGAAGGACATCTGTTCAACCATGTTCATAGCAGCACTATTTGTAATAGCCAGAAACTGGAAGCAGCCTAGATGCCCCTCAATTGAAGAATGGATAGAGAAAATGTGGTACATTTACATAATGGAGTACTACTCAGCAGAAAAAAACAATGGAATCTTGAAATTTGCAGGAAATTGGATGGAACTAGAAGAAAGCATTCTGAGCGAGGTAACCCAATCACAAAAAGACAAACATGGTGTGTACTCACTCATATGTGGATTTTAGACATAGAGTAAAGGAT